TCGAAAAAAGGTGTATATTTATAAATTAATTCATTTAACATTTAATTTTTTCCCCAGAAACAACACCGGGTTCAACACCAAGTTGGGTCAAGATTTATTTGAGTTTTTAAAGCTAGACACCTTTTATTGAATGCTAAAAGATTTGCGTTCTCTGAATGTCATGTAGTTATTGCCCCTGTGAGTAGCTTTGAAACAACATCAGGTTCAACACCTGAAATAACACCAGAAACAACACAGGGTTCAACACCTGAAACAACATCAGAAACAACATCAGGTTCAACACCTGAAACAACACCAGAAACAACACACGGGTTCAACACCTGAAACGACGCCAGGTTAGCTCAAGTTTTATTGGAGGATTAAAATTAGACCCTTTTTTTAATGTTAAAAGATTTGTGTTCTCTGATTGTCATGTAGTTATAGCCTCTGTGAGCAGCATGAGTAAAATTGTCAGACCTGATTTATTTCTTTTCTAGGGCCAAACATGAAATGATAACCACTTGAATTAAGGGCATGAATCTCGAAAAAAAAAGGTGTATATTTATAAATTAATTCATTTAACATTTAACTTTTCCCCAGAAACAACACCGGGTTCAACACCAAGTTGGGTCAAGATTTATTTGAGTTTTTAAAGCTAGACACCTTTTATTGCATGCTAAAAGATTTGCGTTCTCTGAATGTCATGTAGTTATTGCCCCTGTGAGTAGCTTTGAAACAACACCGGGTTCAACACCTGAAATAACATCAGGTTAGCTCAGGTTTTATTGGAGGATTAAAACTAGATACCTTTTTGAATTTTAAAAGATTTGTGTTCTCTGAATGTCATGTAATTATTGCCCCTGTGAGTAGTTTTGAAACATCACCGGGTTCAACACTTGCAACAACACCAGGTTAGCTCAAGTTTTATTGGAGGATTAAAACTAGATACCTTATTGAATTTTAAAAGATTTGTGTTCTCTGAATGTCATGTAGTTATTGCCCCTGAGAGCAGCATGACAAATTTTTCAGACCTGATACATGTCATTTCCAATGCTAAACAACATTTGAAACCCACTTAAATTATGCGCAAAATTCTTGAATATAGGCGAATATGTTTAAATCATTGCATTTAACAATTATTTGTTTCCTCAGGTACAACACCGGGTTCAACACCTGAAACAACACCAGAAACAACACCGGATTCAACACCTGAAGCAACACCAGAGACATCTTCAGGTTCAACACCTGAAACAACACCAGGTAAGCTCAAGTTTTATTTGAGGTAAAAGGTAGACATCTTATTGAATTTTAAAAGATTTGTGTTCTCTAAATGTCATGTAGTTATTGCCCTTTCGAGTAGCTTTGAAAAGCTCTCAGACCTGATACATGTCATTTCCAATGCCAATCAACATTTGAAACCCACGTAAATTAAGCGCAAAATTCTTGAATATAGGCGTACATGTTTAAATCATTGCATTTCACAATTATTTATTTCCTCAGGTACAACACCGGGTTCAACACCTGTAACAACACCAGAAACAACAACTGGTTCAACACCTGAAACAACACCAGAGACAACATCAAGTTCAACACCTGAAATAACACCAGAAACAACACAGGGTTCAACACCTGAAACAACACCAGAAACAACATCAGGTTCAACACCTGAAACAACACCAGAAACAACACCGGCTTCAACACCTGAAACGACACCAGGTTAGCTCAAGTTTCATTGGAGGATTAAAATTAGACCCTTTTTTTAATGTTTAAAGATTTGTGTTCTCTGATTGTCATGTAGTTATAGCCTCTGTGAGCAGCATGAGTAAAATTGTCAGACCTGATTTATTTCTTTTCTAGGGCCAAAGATGAAATGATAACCACTTGAATTAAGGGCATGAATCTCGAAAAAAGGTGTATATTTATAAATTAATTCATTTAACATTTAATTTTTTCCCCAGAAACAACACCGGGTTCAACACCAAGTTGGGTCAAGATTTATTTGAGTTTTTAAAGCTAGACACCTTTTATTGAATGCTAAAAGATTTGCGTTCTCTGAATGTCATGTAGTTATTGCCCCTGTGAGTAGCTTTGAAACAACATCAGGTTCAACACCTGAAATAACACCAGAAACAACACAGGGTTCAACACCTGAAACAACATCAGAAACAACATCAGGTTCAACACCTGAAACAACACCAGAAACAACACACGGGTTCAACACCTGAAACGACGCCAGGTTAGCTCAAGTTTTATTGGAGGATTAAAATTAGACCCTTTTTTTAATGTTAAAAGATTTGTGTTCTCTGATTGTCATGTAGTTATAGCCTCTGTGAGCAGCATGAGTAAAATTGTCAGACCTGATTTATTTCTTTTCTAGGGCCAAACATGAAATGATAACCACTTGAATTAAGGGCATGAATCTCGAAAAAAAAAGGTGTATATTTATAAATTAATTCATTTAACATTTAACTTTTCCCCAGAAACAACACCGGGTTCAACACCAAGTTGGGTCAAGATTTATTTGAGTTTTTAAAGCTAGACACCTTTTATTGCATGCTAAAAGATTTGCGTTCTCTGAATGTCATGTAGTTATTGCCCCTGTGAGTAGCTTTGAAACAACACCGGGTTCAACACCTGAAATAACATCAGGTTAGCTCAGGTTTTATTGGAGGATTAAAACTAGATACCTTTTTGAATTTTAAAAGATTTGTGTTCTCTGAATGTCATGTAATTATTGCCCCTGTGAGTAGTTTTGAAACATCACCGGGTTCAACACTTGCAACAACACCAGGTTAGCTCAAGTTTTATTGGAGGATTAAAACTAGATACCTTATTGAATTTTAAAAGATTTGTGTTCTCTGAATGTCATGTAGTTATTGCCCCTGAGAGCAGCATGACAAATTTTTCAGACCTGATACATGTCATTTCCAATGCTAAACAACATTTGAAACCCACTTAAATTATGCGCAAAATTCTTGAATATAGGCGAATATGTTTAAATCATTGCATTTAACAATTATTTGTTTCCTCAGGTATAACACCGGGTTCAACACCTGAAACAACACCAGAAACTACAACAAGTCCTACACCTCAAACAACACCAGGTTAGGTCAAGTTTTATTTGAGGTTTAATGCTTGACACCGTATTGAATTTTAAAGGATTTGTGTTCTCTGAATGTCATGTAGTTATTGCCTCTGTTAGTAGCTTCGAAATTTTTTCACACCTGATACATATCATTTCTTAAGCCAAACAGCATTTGAAAACTACCTAAATTCACCACAAAATTCTTGAATATAGGTGCTTCAGATATATACAATTTTAGGATAGATCACAATTTTATTTAAAGTTAGTTCAATGAATATAACAGAAAGTAGTTGCAGCTTGTATAAAATAATGATAATGACTGTCTGATTTTCGATCTTTTGCTTCACGGTATCTTTCTTTCAGTTGTGACCTGTCAACTTCCTGTGGAATTCTCTGAAGAACTGTCTCCTCTATCCGAAAACTGTGATGCTGGAAGCTCTATAGAATTTAATACAACCTGTACCTTTAAATGCCCAATAGGGTATACTTTGTCCGGTAGTGACGCTATCACCTGTCAGAATGATGGAACTCTTTCGGCATCTCTGCCTAATTGTAATGGTAAGAGTTATGAGAATGAGTTTTGCTCCTTGATAATAAACAAAAATAAAAGCCTTTAAATCTCAGACACTAATACTGACAACATTCTTATAGCCATAGTGTTTCTCCCTCGCACATGTCTAATGGTAAGATGGATCAGTCATTGAACGGTGGAACACATGGTTTGTGGTATGAATACCTGCCTAGAATCACATATGCCACTCCAGAAGTAACAGATAATTTCATTAATACGCCAGAGCACCTCATGGAAGCTCAGGTAATGTGATGTTTCAAATGAAGTACATTTACTCAAAATTAAAGACCTTCGAAAAATTCGACCAAAGATAAAATCAATAGCCTTTTGAAATGTTTGAATATTACATTTCGATATTATGCAATCCAAACATAATTCTACACGAATACAAGCGGGAATGGGAACTGTCCTTGGGTTGATTTCTGAAAAGACGTTGTGATCGTTTCCTATTTATTGTAGCCTGGCAATGCGAATGCATGTATCATTGTTATTATCATATCTTATCTCGGCAGTTGTTATGTGTAACATCCCAGCTTTCCCGGCAAACCTCACTTATGAAAATAATACACAATGCGGTGCAGAGATGAGGATAGACTACAACACATCGTGCATGTATGGATGTCAGCACGGATATGACCTCATTGGTAACTCGTCTATCACGTGTCAACCTAGCGGGGCGCTTTCCGCTGATCTACCAACTTGTGAAGGCATGTCAAACTGAAAATTCTTATCAGAAAATGCACATGAATAAGTTCAAACATCTTTGTGTTCTAGTAACATAATCCAGGACTGACTGTGATAGTTCTTGTCGTTTTGTTTTAAATCATGTGTGCGATGATTAAGTTTGTTGCTTATTTTATTTTGAGTAAGAATATGTAAAATATTAATTTATGCATAAATCTTTATTATATTGATTAAAATACGGGGAAAAGAGTATAGTTATTTGGATTTCGTTAAGAGAGATGTCTTGATGTACTATATACTCCAGATAAATATTACGTAAAAGCACCTAATGCGTTACATAATACTCTTTTCAGCGGAAGGATCACAATTTGTTGAGTTGTTACACCGAGCAGGCGCGGATCCAGGGGGCGTGGGCCTTGCCACCCTCCGGCAAAATAAATAAAAAGAAAGGAAATGGAGAGAGGAGAGAAAGGGAGGAAAGAAGAGGAAGAAGAAAAGAAAAGTGGAAAAAGAAGGAGATCGTGGGGTGGGCCTAAAGGGCCTTGCCTATCCCCTCTCCCACCCCTCCCCCAGCAAACTTTAAATAGAGATAGGGAAGGGAAAGGGAAAGAGGAGAGAAATGAGAGGGAAAAAAAGGAAGAATAAAGTTTGGGGAGATCAGTTGCGATTTTTCGCGCCAATATGGTGTGGATCGGGGGTGGGGGGGGGGGGCTGAATTACTCTTGTCCTTGCTTCCGGGGGCTTCGCCCCCTAGACCCCACGCCAATTATTGACCTGCCAATGTCAAAAATAAGGTATAACATTATGCTCATCATTAAAAACCCTAAGCTTCCCGGGGCTCTGCTCCTGAACCCCACCTAAGGCGGGCCCCTGAATGCTTATCTGACCGTTATAAAATGCCACGAATTCCTGAGTGTCATGGGGCTCAGCCCCCTGGACCTCACGCCAATTAGTGACCTGCCAGTGTCATGAATAACATATACAAAATATGCTAATCTGACCGTAATTTAATGCCCATACATCTGAACTTTCGGGGGCTCCGCCCCTTGGCACCCCCCCCCCCCCCCGCCGGGCCTTTGCCCCTAGACTACACGCCAATTTACGTTACCTTCTTCCTGACTGTAAACACTTTAGCCTACCCACACCCACTTTGAAACACGTTCAGTTGTGCATGCATGTAAGAGTGGTGGTGCCAACTGCTGGTCACCATTACGTACCAATATTTGCCTCCCATGATTTCAAATTTGGCCCCCCCCCCCCTAGGAAATCCAGGATTTGCGCCTGAGATCGAGACACTAAACATATGTTAATCAAAGAAATTATTACAATGTTGTTGTTTTTTACCTTATATATCACAACCAGAGACTAACAGAACTAGGCTCGGGTCAAGGTTTCATGGAATCCCGTTTTAGTGTCAAATTAGTGTCTTTCTGCAGACTTGCGTTTTAACACATTTGTCCCTCTCGACCCCGGTGCAATGAGGGCATTCTTAAAACTGATGAGGCTACCCTCGGTTAAAGTCTATAGTGCACCAGTGAGCTGAATTTGCAATAATGTGTATCTTTTCTCTCTTTATACATACTTCCAGTCATTGACATATGTCAAAGGTTCGCACCCTGCCCAAGGGTCTCAACGTGTACCGGGGGTATCGGAAGCTACTCCTGTGAGTGTAACGCTGGGTACGTTACTGTAACAGATGAAATGACCACATTCACCTGTGTGAACATCCCCGAATGTACCGGGTCACCCCCAGTGTGTGACAGTAACGCATTGTGTAGCGATCTAAGTGGCAGCTACTTGTGCACCTGTATGGAGGGATTTACCGGCAATGGGACCTATTGCGAAGGTACAGTAATTACACAAAGTACAGTACGTTTTGCCATAAATATGTAAGACCAGACCACTGTAATAAATGATCTTTCCAGCAGATTGCTAGATAATACGACAGCCCCTGACAAAACACCTGAAATAGGAAAACAAACAAAACAAAACAAAATAAAAAATGGATTTTTAGAATGAATAGGAAATGGTAAAAGTGTCTCCATTATAATGTCTGTCAGCTAAATCAGTATCGAAGTAAACAATGTCTCCTGAAATAGTTTTCTATATATTTTTTGGAAATATGAAAAGAGAGAGCTGGCAAATGAGGTCTAAATGTTATTGTTTATTCGTATATAGGCCCTACCCATTTCTATATAAAGTGCATGTGATCTCCACAGAAACTGTAAATTTCTTATCATTTTGATGATTCCAGAAACTCACACAATACACTGGTATACTGTGATTATGTGCTATATTATACAACTTTTCCGAATCTTTCAAAGGCGCTCACATGTCTGAACTAACTCAACTTTATCTTTAAATTTCATGGTTTAATTTCACCCACAGCCATTGAACCTTGTGCCAGGTCACCTTGTCTGAATGGAGGCACCTGTACGACTAGTGACGATGGAACATCGTATGTTTGCACGTGTGCAGAATCGTACATTGATGTTAATTGTAACACTCAAGTTAGGGAGCAAGGTAAGATCGGTGTGGGTGTGTGCGTATGTGTGTGGGTGCATATGCGCATGTGTGTGCCTAAGATATACAGTGCGTCCCCCCAAAAATAAAAAAATAAAAAAATAAAAATCAACAACTTGGAAACAAAGGGGGGGGGGGGGGGTTATGAGAAAACTATGATGTATATACAAAATAGTTTATTGCTTATCATAAAGTAGAAGTATTATGCTTTCAAATGATACTATAATTGCGATAAATCATACCTTCGTTGAGCAACATTGTGTAAACAAAATGGCATGTCATTATCCATTCTGTTCCATAAATATACCCACACATATATAGGTATACTTAACTTGGTTCAACCGACCGGTAAATGCATCCACACATATCTCGTTATATTTCTTATCATTTTGATGATTCCAGAAAATCACAATATAAACTTTAAAACTGTCATCATGCGCTATACTATAAACTTTTCCGACTCTTTCTCACGCAATCAAATGTCACAATAATGAGTTAGAATAGCTTCCGGCCCCTGGTCATCCTCAGCTTTTATTTTGCTGACAAAATAGTCGAAGCAGAACCTATATGGTGTATTTAATGTTGTTAGGGTGTGTGTGTGTGTTTATTTGTGTATGTATGTAGGTTTCACATGTATAAATGTGTATGCATACTTTTGAATAAACATTACTTCACTTAAACCTCATCTACTCGTCATTATCAAATATTGTATAATACATACAATTTAAATTTTCTTTATTTATATTAAATACTTTTTAATAAACAATGATTCTCGTGAACCCTATTAAACCTTAAAGTCATCGTTTAACGATGTTAAATCTGAGATGCACGGTCCTACGTGCTACCAGTGTCTGTGATATGGTGTAATATGGAAGCCCCGCAAAAAAATATCGAGCTTCAAAATGATCAAGAAGTGCCTCAAAAAAGTAAAATCTTTGAGTGACTGGTTTTACCACACTCGTTTTCCCCAATAGACTGTAATTTTATGTAATCCGTTTGGCAAACGCAAACTTTGGTTTCGATTTCCAATCATAAATATCTTGACAATAAGACAGGCGACCGGCTTGTACAAGTCATGGAGTTCATGACTGACCCAGATGTTTATAATTAGTATTGCAGCATGAGCTAAATCCAGGATTTTCTTTCAGAATCTGAGACAAAGTTACCGGACCCCTTTAACCGTGGATTATTCTTATGTTGCATAAAAAATTAAGTATTTGTTAATCTACATGTATAATTATTATATCACATTTTTAGAACCTCTTGCGGTTTTCACCAACCCGATGTCTCAGATGGTAGATGTAGAGCAGCGGGTCACCTTCTCCTGTTCCTTCCAGAATGCACGAAGTTACAGGTGGTACAAGGACAGCGTCCCCATCTTGGGCAGTGAGAACAGGTCCCCGTTAGTTATCAATCCAGCTCTAGCCGAGGACCAGGGATACTATTACTGCACTGCTGTCGGGGAGGACGGCACTAATGCGTCCACAGATCGAGCTCTGCTGACAGTCAACGGTTAGTTTGTAGTTTGAAGTTGGCGAATAGTAGCATGTGTTTGAAGAAGCAAATACGACCTTCAACTCTCCTAGTCTTATCTCCTACTTATATCTTTCTCATAATAATAATATGTTTGACCTCCAATCTTTCAAGCTATGGATTCTTAGATGAATCAGGTCCTGCCATGTACTATAAAAATGGCCTTCAACTTCTACCTGGGTAAGGCTAGTTAGGTGGTCTGTTATCAACAGACCACCTATTGTTTTCGTCAGAATTTTCTTTCTTTATTTATTATTATTATTATTATTATTATTATTTATTTTTATTTCTTCCCGTTTTTTGTTTATCGGTTAACTCAAGATCGGTTATGTTAATTTCTTTCAATTTCGACACAGTCATAGGTCATTGTCATGAGACGTAACAGTAACCTTTTTAAGGTCATCAGGTCATCGTGACGTCATCCATGCGCCATTTTGTGAAATCACGTTATCCATCATATCTTCATGATGCATAAGCAAAGGTCATTCATATTCATATCACATATACTTCAGGTCAAGGGTCAACAAGTCATGTCATCAAAGGTCACATAAAGGTCATGACGCGCACGTACGCGCGCGTCAAAATTTTAAAATGCTCAAAATCACTTAACTATTAAACGAGAGTACGAATCAGGTTATTTGAAGCATTTCAAAAATTTCCGTCCGTACTTGTCCCCGCGCGCGGTGCGCGCGCTCACAACGCGCGGAAAAGGTCAAATTCAATTTGTTTACATGATTTGGATTCCTCTTACCGTAAATGACAATTTACATTAATTTCAGTCACTCTTGACCTTTCATAAGGCCGTGAGCGCGCGTCAAAGTTCAAATTCCGTGCGTGCTGCTATGGGCAATATAATGTGAAATTTGATCAAAAACATGCTACTTTATAAATCGAAATAGCTCTTCAGATAGTCCGTCGACCCCCAATTTTTATATCATGGTTGGAAAGAGCATGAGTTGGAGATATGATTTCATACCATCCTGACTCGTACAAAGTGATACAAAATCTTCATATTTGCATCTAAACTAAAGAAAATGTATTTTGTTGATAACGTCATTTTTGTCTTTGTTTAATTGAGATTATCTCGCTTATCAGTGATCGATTTTCTCCCAGATTTCGATATGTTATAGCTGAGATAATTCTCTATCAGAAACATAGCATTTTTTTTCATTTAGATGACGTCATCATAGTTAAATATTCGATTAAATGCGACAATGCATAATTTGTCATATTTGCGTGTTATGTCTATGGGAGGTCACTTTTTTCAAAACATGAATCTGCATGACAATGTGTTTTGACCAGTATCTCGGTTGTTATTCAACAGTTTTCTCCCAAATTTTAGTATGTTGTAGCTGAGACTATTTGCTATCTTAATATTTCCTTATTTTTTCAATCAGATGTCAGGATCATGCTTATGCTCATCATCATCATTAACATTATCGTTTTTATCATCATATAACATTATCATTATCATCATCATCATCACCTTTACTATCATGATCATCATCATGGTCATCATGATCATCATTGTTTACATGTCTATATAACTTCTCCCATCCTCAATTCTATCATAAGACTTAGACAGACCACCTTATTCGTCTTCGTGACGAATTAAATTTCTAGTTGTAGTTGTTCTTCAAGGCACTTGGACATTATGATGAACGATTACTCACAATACCTTTACTCCCTCACACCAATAAGAAAATAATATTTTGTTCTAAGTAAGATACCCTTAAACGCGAATTAAACCCTTCATTGTAACCTACGTCATTATGTAGAGGACATTTAAAGGTAATGTTAAGTTTTAGAAAAATTAGCCTCTAAAACACTCTCTTTTTGAGAGATTGAATAATCAAATATTTACTGGTGGTCCCGGTAACTTTTGATTTAAAAAGTATGGCGGCAGCCAGATACCGGTAGGATCGTGATGAAATAACCTTTTAAAATTTGATTTATCACAAAAAAATGATGAATAAGATCTAAAATTTTCTTAGTGATTTCAATCTACTGTTATTATATTTTTTACATTTACTACATCTTTTCTACTTGCTTACTCATTAAACTTTAAACAAGTGATGTGAGGGGATAATGTAACTATATTAATTTTTTCTATCAAAGCAAGTGCACTTCTGTAGATGCCCCAGGTGTCAATCGTGTTTCTGATACTCCATTAAGTTATTTATATTTTGTTTAACCTGTTGCCTAATTTATATGATGTAAATTACAAAAAGTTTTCTATTGCTTTTTAAAAAAATCGTTATGGCTTTTGTTTCATTTCCAGGTGTTGATAACTATGTAGTAAGGGCGACCTTTTTGACAAAGACTTTCAACAACAGTCTTTTGGATAGAACTTCCTCATACTTTCAGCAGCTTTCAGAAGAATTAATCACTTTTGTGAGTATGATTATAAAGTTATCTGATCTGCTGACTAACTTCTTGCTCCCTGTCATTCTAAACTATTATATTTTGTCTAAAATGTCTTAAAATTAAAGTTACCATAGATAGTCTGAATTGCATTTCAATCATCTACAGATATTTTTATGTCAATCATCTAAAAAGAATTCATCATGATTTATTCATTCATTTATTCAGATGCAATAGATATATATAAATATGTTTATCCCGACATTACCCCTTAAAGTGTCATGTTTCATTTTACTCGTACATGGCGTTCCAAATACATCTGTGCTTTGTTGCTATTCGTCTCTTACTGTCAAGAATATTATATACAATTTTCCCACAAGGAAATAAATTTGAATTAAAATTCGTTACATTCAAATTCACATCGCATAGATTAGGTTGACTGGCCGGCACTCAAATGATATTCTGTGTTGCTTTCAGATCCTAACACCTCTTCAGAATAACTTTGAAGCCACCGTTGCAGTTAGAGTAAACATCTTCTCACCTGGAAGCGTAATTGCAGAATTCGGTATCTATGTATACGATGGTTCAATACCCGATGACGAACAACTGTCCATCATCAGTTCTACAATTACAAGCCTTGCTGAGGGAAACCCTACTTTCCTGGACCCAGCTTTTGTTCAATCCTTTAGTACAGGTGATTTTTATCATTACAGTCAAAGTTTCCTGATAACATGATCGTCACTAGTACTTTAACAAAATCAACTCAAGGGCAATTGCAATAACCTACTGTATATCTTAAATTAATCATGTTTGGATTAGGTAATACATCATTGTAATTTTCGCGCATTTCTAATGCTGATGGACAGTGCTGTTGTTTTTTTCTTCAAATAAATGCTCTTGAAGTTGCCATCGGTTTATTTGCGATTGGTATTGATGTGTATGTGTTTTTTTGTAATTTCAAGCTATTCTTTCTTTTGTGTTAATGTGAAATTAATTGTTGCTCTGTCTTCATACCATTCAACTTAGTTGTTAGACTTAACATTTAGAGCATCTTAAATTTTCTAGCATCTGATATAAATTCATTAGATATAATTTCTACGAATCTATCAATTTTCATGCATGCAAATTAAAAACGGTCCATTGGTAATAACCTGCTTTCTACTTTTTGTGTTGCCCAGTCACCGATGCTTGCAATACTACCAATTTCGTAAATGAATTGTACGTGACAAATAAAAATAAGACGTACGTGTAACAGGTAACTACAAAATAGATGATCCATAATGATAGCCACTAATAACCAAAAGGTCGTTAACTCACTAGTACGGGTAGTAATAATTAACGTCCTTTTTGTTTTGAGTAGTTGAAATAATATTTTATGTTTTTATTTATTTTGATATGGTAAAGCAAAAACATGCATATGGCCGCACGGCTGTTTTTCAGCAAGTTTGTGTACAAAAGAAGACAACATTACCCAAGCTGAAATCAATAACAATTGCATATTATTTACAAAGAAAATAAACAAATTACAAAAAGAAATTATTGTTAGGTATATACATTTTCCGCCTAAAATCATCTTCGATTCTATTGATGTTGACAGTGACCTGTCCATCCGGGACCATTGTGACAACCTATGGCTATGTAGCCATGTTTGATAGTGGTGTCATAAACAGCAGAGCTAACTCAACCGATAAAAAATGCCCTGATTATACCGTAAATCGTAAGTCATTTTCATTAACTGATAGTTCATTTTCTTGTATTTGTTTGCTTGTAAAGTAAGTAAATTATCCTACATTTGTGTCCATTTATGATAAAAAGTTCCATCAATTTGTAAAAGGTATTGTTTAATGGGTATTTGCTACCAGATAGTAGTTAACCTTAAACATTTTACTGAAGGGATGTAAAGTTTATAACCTTCTTAACTCTAAATATGGTAATTTAATGGATCTCTTTTGTTTTTATTTGTCTATTTATGTAAAAATCGCCATATAAATAACACAAATTGCTATCGCTAAAGCATGGATCATAAATATGATCCTTTTATGTTTCCGCAGGGGACCATCGTATAGAAGCCATTTGTGTTGGTGACACTATTCGCCCTTGTGTTTGGGTACCCCAGATGAACTGTGGAAGAAACCTGACTGCTGATGAACTTCTCAAGATCATACAAGAGGTTCGTTACGGTCTATTCCTGTCAGAAACGCAACGTAGCTATGATTCTCTGCCAGAATAAGGTAATAGAAAAAGATGTTGTTAGTGCAATATCAAAAGGTCGAGGTGTTGTGGTCCAGTGGATAAGTCTCTGGACTGTGAAACAAAAGTTTCGGGGTTCGAATTCATATCGTAGCAGTAATATCTTTTGGCACGACATTAATCTACAGTATATTCGGCACAGTCCACCCACGAAACCCGGTATAATTAATCCATGTAAATGCTCAAGCGCTGTAATGGCAGCGGTGCTAAAGCCAGGGTAATAATGATGGAGCACCAATGAGTGGCAGTTTATCAGTCATAAGCGATAATCAAGACTTCACTATCCCTAACATTCATATTGTACCAGCAAAGCGAGAGCAGGAAGGGCTTTTGGTGATCTTAACCAAATTTAAAGTCTACGAGGGTACATATTAAAGCGCCATGTAATGATTACCTATGAGAAGAAACCTCATCCCATCACAAAATCCCTGTTGATTTAAAGGTCGTAGTTTTTTTGATAAATATCTGAAAACTGAAACAGATTTTCATTTCTTTCGATAGGTATTAAATATAGTTTCATCTCAATTTTAGAAGCACATTGCCAAGTTTCATTATAAAGTGATATACAAGAAAAGTTTATTATCATCATCACTGTTGTTATTTAACTGATTGCCTCTGATTTTGGCAGGACGATGTCACAGCGGAAAATGCAGAAATGATAGTTGAAGAAGTGGCAGAAATATCAACCATGACTGAAACTATCTCTACAGAAGGTCTAGAGATTGTGGCAGATATCCTAGAAGATATCACAGAAATAGATTCTACTGATGTACAGGTGGGTAGGAGATTATCCATTGCAGGTGCATGACTAACATAATTTGGATAAATGGGTGTAATGTTTCTAGAATTTCATGCTGTGTCAGGAAAACATTATCAAAAAGAGGCTGGGGACATTACAGCTACACCGTATGCATAATAATGAACTAAGTTACGTAGAACAGCAACTTAAATAACTTAGGTAGAGCACAATACAAGTAATGTGCTCATTTAATTTGCGTGTAGAACCTTTGATTGAGCGCAGTTACCAGACATTTACGCGTTTTATACAATGGGTTCAAGAATGAATCCAATATTAAAGAAGCGTCGAATAGGAATGCATTTTAGTGATAACACCCGTCAATTTATCGACTTTATCATATTGTTGACTGATCTTATAAAAAAATAGTACATGTTTTAGCTCGTGCATTAGTGATGTGCACTGCACTTTGTTAAGTCACAGTCAGACGGACAATGAACTCTGTGACTTAACCTGCGCGCAGAAGGTATTCACTAATGCACTCGCAAACATATATTATTTGTATAAAAACGAGAAAAAAAAGTACATTGAAATATCAATGTGATGCGCTATATAAATATATATTATTTTCATAGCTATTATTGCTATTGTTGTTAATATGGGTAGTTGTACTAATATAAATATGCAGTTGAAATAGCAGAAAATAAACAAAAATTGATCCTTTAAAAACAGGTGACTGAGTCTGTTGTGGATATTGCAAGTAACATTGCGGATCTACCAGAAGAAGAGCTAGAAATGGCTGAAGACGAGAGTGGTGCTCCAAGCCGTGTGGTTATATCCCTTGAAGCACAACTCGCTGTAGTTGAGGTTAAAAATGAAACTCTTCGGATTGTTGAGCCCAATATTGCCGCAGAGGTAAGCAACACAAATACATGTTTTAACTATTTCTATAGTGAAATCGTATAATATACCGTATTCTACTTGTTTATTTATAACTTCTTTTTTTTTTTTTTTTGGTAAAACCTACTGTTTATGCAATTATCTTCATGTATTAATTTTTTTTCATTGCCACAAAACATTTTGACAAATCATTTCGCAATAAAAATGAAGCCATCGCTGTATGGAAGACAAATTGCTTTTTTTTTTTTTTTTAATATTGTCTACCTCATCCAAAGTATTCGATAAAATGGTGAAAGACTATGACTACGTCATTTCTTGTTAAAACTACCAATATTTTTCATAGATTAGACAAGCTGCCTCTTGAAAGTTATCCATTGAGTTCTAGACCAACTCACAATATATTTATATACATGTATTTGTCATAAGAATAGAAACCAGGATGTGTCATAATCGATATATATTTTTTTTAAACACTTGACTGGAGTTTTTAAAGTCCTGGATTCGAGCCCCGGGGCGCCCTTGGTGTCCTTTGGCAAAACATGTATCCACAGTTGCCACTCATATCCAAGGTTTTAAAATGGATATCGGTAGAAGAATTCATGGAATGCTGTGAACACGAAATCGGTAACCTGGCCAAAGCCGGAGTAATATATTAGCGCCTTTAGCGCCGAGCCTGGTGGATATGAACACTATATAAATATACAATATCATATTATTGTTTTGTGTTTCAGGTACTTGACGTGACTGTGGATGAAATCAGCCAGGGTATAACCGTTTTCGTGTCAGCTACGTCCGATGGAGAAAGCATTTCAGACGATGATTTTCAGGTGGCAGAAGGCGATCTGACACAAGAGCCAGGGGCGCTTGAGGCCCAGGCGACCCTCTTCATTCCATCGGTCTTAGCGGATAGGTTCTCCGGGCTGACTGGCCGGTTGGTCATCACAACACATTTGGACACGGCTCTCTTCAGGGACAGTGGACTAACGGAGTTGAATCGGAATCGGAACCAGACGGGATTCACGCGAGAGTTGAATTCGAGGATCATAGCGGCGTCGATCAATAACGAAGAAATCGAAGACTTGGAGGAACCCGTGATGATTGCATTTACTCCTATCAATCCGGTGAGTGCATCCTAATACTACATACGTATTAATTGAAGCGCCATGAACGTCAAATGTGACATACTTATACGCTATATCAGTACCAACTATTATTATTTTCATTATTATTTGAAACATGGCAATTGCTCAACTAAAATTTTGCTGGTGATTTCAATAACATAACAAAACAAGTTGAGAAACAAAAATATACAAAGAGAAAGAGATAGAAAGAGAGAGAGAGAGAAAGAAAGAAAGAGAGAGAGAGAGACAGAGAGACAGATAGAGGTGTGGATGCGTGTGCGTAAGTTTGTTTGCATGCGGGGGCACAATGATGAGAAATGTGGCAGTGATTCAATGTAAATTAACCTCTTTCATCTGATAAAAATTTCGCGAATATACAAAATGATTAGATATGGCCACACAAATGAGGATTAAAGGAGGATGTGTATAGTGACATATCAGTTCGGAGTAATTTAGAGTAATGGGGCTGAAGTTTGCATGTTTCACAAGACAGTATTATGCAATGTACATTACGTAACTCTTGAACCAGATATTTTCCAGTGGCAGAAATTATCTTCTTTTTTATTTGAGATATTTATATATTTTTCCCAGCCCTGATAACTGTCAAATTTTATTCTCATTTCAAGAATGGGACAAATGCCACGTGTGTCTCTTATGACTTTGATGATAACCAATGGTCCACGCGAGGGTGTAACAAAACAAGTAATGACAGCATAGACAGAATTACTTGCGAGTGCAATCACCTTACCAACTTCGGCATTCTCATGGTTTGTATCACCTTTGTCTGTTACATAACGTACTGTTGCATGAGATTTGTGGGTAACATCTGCGCAAAAGTTACAGCAATGGCACGGGAAAGCTCAAAATCCTCATCTCAGCCCATGTTTTCAATATTCATGATATCAAAGTGTTATTTTTTATTAAATTTGTTTGTGAATCGTGTACACTTGGTTGTTAATTGCTAGTTAATTGCATTGCATACCATATTAAAAAAACCTCATTTATATAATGTATGAGGAAACTAGAAAAGCTTGACTTGCGTTAAGGCATGCCCCTCCGCGTTCCCATGTTCTGGACATATTCATTCGGCTTCAAAACACACAAAGTTTTTTTCTACATCAGGATACGACAGACAATATGCCTCAGAATAATGTCATGTTTGATGCACCGTAAACGCCACCCACGTATTAACAAGACGGAATATGTATGAAATACAAGACCGTAAAGCATTGATACATGATACCCAATGTTCATCTTGCTTCATGCTATGATTAACAGCTCCTAATACTCTGGCTACTGAGTACATGTGCTTGTTCTTCACATGGTTGAGTAAAAAAAGTCTCTGTCAGATAAGAGGCGCTTTTTTTATTACGTGAAATAAATTGCAACTGGACGCAATAACGCGCAGTTCCTTCGCGTATTCACTGAGCTCTGTGTTATAAGCTACATAAATGTAAAGTGTATTGCATATTAATACGTCATCCCAAAAAAGAAAGAAAAGAACAAATCCACCGAAGATTACCGCGTCATATCTGATTGAGGCATGACGTTGAGATGACTTTTAGTAGACTTGGCCGACGTCCCGTTTGAATATATATATATATATATACATATATATATATATATATATTGCACGTATTTGCACCCAGGTTGTAGAGTAATCATGTACTTTTAAGAATGCTCCCAGTTGCCTGATGATCGCTCGGAAGGCGGGAAACTTGGAGTTGCAGCCATGTTCTATTAGTCTGCCTTATTATATCTTTACACAAATTACAGGATATCTATGGAGGAGAAGGATTGTCGCTACAGGCAGATTTCATTCTGGAGATAATAAGTTATGTTGGTTGCTGTATGTCAATATTAGGCCTTGTCATCACAATCCTCACATATGCTTCAAATAAGTGAGTATCATTTCTATAATCAGGGATAATTATGTATATGGGCCAGTATAAGGTATGTGATCTTGTGATGTCCAACACGTTACCAATCGGTATGAAATCTTAAGCACAAATTGAAACCAAAGTAGCAATTACTTCATGTTTGGTCTCAGAAAAACTAAAGATGAGTAGACAATTTAATACAGTCACCAGTTATACAAATATCTCAGATTTGCTCGGTAAACGTAGGTTAAAAGTACATTGGACTTGCCCGTAAACTTAATTTTAATCATTGCAAAATGCTACCTTATCAAAACATTTTGAAGAGCAGCTGTGTACGCTAGCAAAATATGTTAAGAGTCACGATTTTGTTTTAAATTACATATATAGAAGAAGAAAATGCGGTCCCATAATTAAAATCCTTTCTTGTTGTCTGTACTTGATTCCCTTCAATTCATGTTTTCTACGTAATATGATCAACATTTGGGCGTAGGAAATACCATGGAATATTTTGAAGTGTTTGTCGTCCTAGCAGATTTTTGAATAATCACTCTCCGGAAAAGGCAAGAGTCAATATCTTGTGCGACACTATGTAAAATATGTTATATTAATTAATATGGTGTTGACTTCTGTGCTAGGAAACTTCGTGATCGGAAACCCAACCAGATCCTACTGTCCCTCTCCAGTTCCCTGCTCTGTCTCTACATCGTCTTTCTGGTCATGATATCTGTCGATACAGAACGAGGTGTGCAAGACACTCCTACTCTGCCTTGCTCTATCCTAGCTGGCTTCCTCCACTATTTTACCCTGTCATCTCTATTCTGGATGGGCGTCGAGGGCTACAACATGCATATTCTCTTCATTCGAGTTCTCAATACATATATACCCCGATTTTTGAGGAAGGCTTCCCTGATTGCATGGGGTAAGCCACCATCCATTAATTATCTGATTTTTGACTTGATAGATTGAAAGCCTTTTTGCCGAAATGTGTTACCAGCATGATTGCAAAGGATTTCGGAAAAAATGAACCTCAGGAACTTTCAATAGCTTTGTTGAAAACCGTGTACACTACAATGACGTGTTACAACCTGAACTGAACAAGATTTCTAAAGAATATACAATAGGATATTGAAACATTCCTTGAGTGGATTTCTTGAAAGTCTTTAGGATCTTGCTCAGCAAGTAGAGTTTGGTTTACAGCCTAATTTAAAGAGCTTTTGATATTTATTTTCAATATGTGCAATATGTTTCGAATAAAACATAGCATTATCACCGGTCACAAGTCTAGTTTATCCTTCGTTGTTCCTTTTAAGAATTGATGGTGATGATAAAGATCATCATCGTCATAATGCTAATGACAATGATGATGATAATAATAAATTAACCATTCATTTTTGTTCTGGTATTTAGGAGTCCCTTTGGTGATTGTTGGAATCACTGGAGGAGCAGCGAGGCAGTACTACGCGCAGACAGATTTGTAAGTTTTTATCTCTAATGAAACAAACATTCCCGTTCCTCTTGCTCTCGTTTCAATTTAAGAACACTTTGCACTCATTTCATGGCTAAATAACAGTTTTGCATAAGCTCTAAATTATATATTTCAAAAGTGTGTATGCGAACTCGAGTTGAGAAAAGTGCTTTGTATTGAAAAAAGGTGTTTTGTATTTATGTATGTTTATTGTATGTAGTATCTCTACAAAACAAATCGCAGACTAGTTTTTAATTAACATTGGCTGACTTGAATTTTTTTTTTTTTAATTGATTGAGTTCAGCATTTTTCAAACAATAATGATTAGTAACAATATGAAAATTGTATATATAGTGGTAATATTTTTTGAAATCACAATGAATAACTTAATTTATGCAAACAAAATTTGGGAACGATTGATATTGCAAATGCAGCAGAGCTGCATCGTAAGCATTCGCTTGAAGTGCATGCAACTCTTTAACTCATGATTACAGCGACAGCACAAAATATGATCACAAAAACAGAAATTCAAATGCAAAAGATTTTTTTAAATGGCTTGCTTCAGAAGACACAGATAGAGATATAGAAATAGATAGAGGAACAAGTGGTATCCGGCTACTTCTATTTAAATGCTAAAACTTTGAAAGAAAAAAAGCTTTCACCGATTTTTGAAAGAGTATAGTGAAAGCGCAGTACGGGTATCAATGCGAAGAGAATTCCATATCATCTGGTCCAGTGTGGCGAATGGATTTAAGAGCTAGAACAATTTTTGGATTGCACAAATGGAAAATAGTAGATGATTGTCTTATAGGGTAGGAGTGAATATCTTCAATCAATTGAAACACAATAGAAAAATTACTCAAGGAGCTTTTTTTTCTGAAGGCGAAACCTGAAAATGGCAGTTTGTAGAAAATTGATATCATTAACAAATTAATGATATCCGTATTGCACTTAATGTTAGCCCATATTAAACTACAATATGAAATAAAAAGTTATATCATGGTATTGTACAGCATTAATAAGATATTCGAAGGAACGTTGTGACGAAGTTTAAAGATTATGCCTACATTACGTGATATTCTTGCTGCAATATATGAAACATGATCATTTCATTTCGTAATTTCATTGACAAAAAGTCCATGATATTTAGTACTTTCAGTCTTTTAAATAACAACACAATCCACCAAATTTCTATAGCAGGTACATCAGATTTTACATCTTGGAAATGAATAAAGTTTGTCTTTTTCATAATCTGTTGCATTTAAACAATGCAGATGATTTGGGTAAATCGTTATTCATGGTATAAACAATGAAAATTGGAATCAGAATAAGAACACATTAGTATTATCGGCGAATATGATGTATTGAAACAATTTAGATGTGTTTGAAATATCATCAACATAAGTTAAGAATAACAAAGGGCCATGGAGAGGTAATCTTCTTACACCATAGTTATGAAGTTTACGTAATATAAGAATCGTGTGGTCAAGGGTGTCAAATGTCTTGCTAAGGTCCATAAAGACATCCAAAACATGATTACGATTGGCAGGGCAATTGACACTCTGCCGTACAACTGTGTTGAAGCAAGATCGGTGGAGTGGAATTTTCTGAAACCAAGCTGATTTTTGTAAAATAAATTATGTTGTTTTAGAAAGCCATACAGTTTGTTATACACCAGTCTTTCTGAAATATTCGAGAAACTCGCGTAAGAATGGATACTGGACGATAGTTTGACACTAATGACGTATTGTATTTTTTTTATATATTGGTATAACTTTGGCAATTTTAAATGACTTTTCGCTATGAGTACGAATTTTATATTATTTTCTCTTAATACCCTCACTTAATATCTTTATAACTGAACGCAGTTATTTTAAAGCATGTCTTTATTGCTATAATTTTAACATGGCTCCGAATATGTGACACGTTAACTGTGTTAAATCTTCGTAGGTTGTTTGAAGTCTAGCCTAATCATTTCATAAAATGGCTGAATGTTGAGGATTGTAATGAATATGATACCCCCACAAAAAAAAGATTCAGCATTCAAATAGTCCAATCAATGCTACTTAACAATAGGAAGGGTTATAAAAGACATACATTGCAGTTTCATCTACATACATTTTCATTGATGCTTTACGCATAACCTTATTTAGTAGTAGGCAAAGTTTATAGTATAGTAATAATGTCAAGTATAATGAGGTCAAGTAAATTCAATAGAATAACAGATAGTTGCACTTGTTATGAGAAATATCATGAAGAATATTGGTTTCCGGTTCATAGAAAATTAATTGGAAAATATCTTCATACTGCAATCCGAATTTTTAATATAAATTCATCCTTAATATAATTGATAATTTATCATATCATGAATTGAAAAATGAATAAGTATTTGTCGTCGTTGTTGTTTTTTGTAGTTGCTTCCTTCGATTCTGGCCTCTCATTGGTGGTCTCCTGATTCCAGTTGGTTTCATCATGATCTTCAACATCATCATCTTCATTCGTGTCATTCGACGACTGAACAAAACCGTCAAAGGAAGACAAATTGATAAGACGGAAAAGCGCCAGCGCCTTCGACGTTTCCAGAATGCGGTGTGTATCCTGATCCTGATGGGCTTAACGTGGTCTCTGGGTTACCTGAGCATCATCCGACCGGCCAGTGAGGTCGTCCAAGGAATCTTCACCATTCTCAACTCTCTGCAGGGGTACTTCATCTTCATGCTGTACTGCGTGCGCCAGCCTCAGGTTCGCAGGGCATGGCGCTCACAGTTCAGCTGCTGCTTGTCGAAGTCTGTTGCGGGTTCCAGCGGCTTCACTTCAAGCTCTGGCCAAACTAATTCTACGAACAGGAACAGCTCGGCCAAGCTCAGGGGACAGAGAGGCAACCAAAATGCAGGGCTGATGTCTAACTTCGATGCCAGTGGGTTCCAACCGGATACAATAATGCGTACCCCACCTGAGAGACTGCCTAGAGCTGCCTACCAAAACGATGGTGCCGAGTGGTGATTTGATACATTTAATGAAACTTGATGAATGTTTACAATATAGATTGTGTTTTGTTCATAACTACACCGAAATAATGACGGTGATTTGAAGATACAAGTAGTAATGATTTGAAAACAGTAACCCATGCAGTCTTTCAACTAACAAAACAATTGTGTTTTTCAACTAGCATCATGCAATGTATTTCAACATGTTAATAATTGTGAACATAAAAGGTCAATGGGGACATTAGAAGGGAATACCAGTTGACCATATTTGCAGAGTAAATTCAGCATCTAGCAATGAATGTTAAATTGATATTGATGGAGCGGAGTCGGTGATTATCAACTTTCTTGTTTATTTATACATCACATAATAAATGTAGTCCTAGCTGTAATTTGTGATCGCCTTTAGAACCTCGTGAAAATTTGCAAAAGGATCTTTGATTGATTTGTAACGATTGGTTAAAACATCACATAAAATCTTAAACATTTTCTGTTTATCTTCACTGGAAAGATGACTTAATGCTACAATCACTTGGGAATCGCAGACAAAAAGTGCTGTATGGTTTACGCGCTCGCACAAAGTAGGTTTTAACACGTTAACCAATGGGGATCTCATCAAAATGTTACTATTATCCCGGTACCTGGAATTTGTCGGGGATCTCATTCATGAACTATTAATCGTTGCTGGCATTTTTCGTTTCTTTACGTGAATGGCTAAAATCACGACTCCAATTTCGACCAATCAGATGGCTAGATTTCTAATCCAAAAACTCAAATTACTTGGAGTCACGATTCAAAATGATCTGAAATGGAATCTACACATTGCAGAAATTGTTGCTAAAGCATCGCGTAGATAGTACTCGCTATGTATGTTAAGGATATCAAGGGCAAGTTTGGGTGATATGGTAAACTGTCTACACAACCTACAAAAGCCCCATTCTCGAATATGCTTCCCCTGTTTGATACACTTCTATTACTATCAATGAGACTAATAAATTGGAATTTGTTAAAAAGCGGGCACTCAAAATAATTGTAGGATATAATGTTGATTATACAAATGCCCGTGCCATAACCAATCTACTTCCCTATCTTCGAGAAGGGATTCACTTTTGGTACGTTTTGGAGAAAAGCTCAGGAACTCCGATCACCACAAACGCCTTTTGGCCATTCCCAAGTCCGTCTCGAGCATGAGACAGTTGCACAACATGACTGCTTTTCCGACAATTATAATGTAATACTGAAAGGTATTGTATATCAACCATCCCTGACCTTGCCAGAATCTTCAAATAACTCTTATTCCCCCTACACTTTCTTGCATATTTTAATCTTAATTCTTAGTCAATAAATCACTATTTCAGCATGCATGCCTTGATCCTATGGTCTATTTATATGGTTTTCTTTGTATTTCAGTTATTGTTATATTTACTTGTAGTTTCCCCCCCCCCCCTCTCTCTCTCTCTCTCTCTCTCTTTCTCTCTTCAAACTTCTCCCCTTCTTTCTCCTTTTAAAAACTTACATTTTCTCTCTTCTTGCCTGTACTCGTATGATGATTATTGTTGTATCGCCGAATTTTGACTTTTCTTAATTTGCATTAATGTATTAATGTAATACATTCATAACATGTATGTATATAGGTTGTTTATTCAGGAAATGTGTAGTTATGTTAATTAGGAATAATATGATTATTTACTTATGTTCATTTTATTCCCTGCTTTCTCTCTCTCCCTCTCTCTCTTCCTTTCTTTTCCCTTTTCTCTCATCCTCTCTCTTTCTACCCCATCCGCTCTATCACTCTCCCTTTCGTGAGCTATATACCTTCCCCTGCTCTTGTATATCTCCTGCTAGTACATAATAAATATAAACGAGCGCAATACGATTATTTGGTATTGTCATTATGTTACTGATTTATTTACTATATGCCTTGTTATACTATTTTAAATGTATTTAATTATATACATCATCGTATTTTTTGTAAATTTTTCGGCAATCTTTTTTTCTCACATATTTCGCATATAAAGTCAGACGTAGAGAGGGATATGAACATTTGAAAAAAAAGAAAAAAAAAAAAGAAGCCATTTTTGGTTTTAGTTTCTAAACGACGTAAATTGAACATTGGTCGACTAAACCTTCAATATTCATCGACTAAAGTTTAGCTAGGACAATCAAATAGTACACTAATGGAGAGTTAGGAACTGTAAACACGTTTTCTGCTCCTATACACGTTGATCATGTGTACAGATCAAATATATTGCTACTTAACAGGAGGTAAACTAAACATGCGTCTATTGAGAATGTGAGTGTATTTGAGAAAGATTATTTTATTAAGATTAAGAAGCATATGCACTGTGCAATATGTAAACAGTCTTTTAGTAAATAAAGTTTAAAAAGTGTTTAACGTGTGTTTGTAATCTGAGGAATTTATGAAATAATAAGATTTATGTTAATTAAGATAAATATTCATTAAAAGTAGATGCTCAAAGCGATGTCTTCTTTTGTTTCCTCATTTTATGTTAGTAATGCAGCTGAATTCACGTCTTTTATCACCGAGCGAGGATTATTTCCATTAATTTTTGTTGAAATCTTTTAGAGTAGGCGTAGTTGTGTCAATTACCAACACTATATACAGACAATTATATTTAGAAATTCCTTCTTATTTATAGCTCATTTATCTGTTCATCATCATTTTTTGTTATCATTTCGTTGTTTATGAAATGGAGTACCTTTATAATCTACGTGTATAAGCAAGTTGGTGGTGCGTTGTAGGTTTAGGTTTATGTTTACAGTTTATTAAATTATTTGTTATTCCTTTAAACATGTTTGATAGTGATAAAAATAATGATAAGCATAAGAAGAAGAATGACAATAATAATAGTGATAATAATAATTATAGCGATAACAATAATAAAAGACCGTGGCGGTTTTATATCTAAACGAGCATTTTTACCCGCGCTAATCAAATTAATGGAGGCAATTTGCCCATACCCCGGTAATTAAACGCAAAGAGTTCAACGTTTTATTTTATAATCCTTTCCTTATGCATTGTCGCCCTTATCGGGCGCATTACAGACTAAACCTGTTAATGACGTAGTCCTACGTCATCAAATTAACGACTCGTGTGTAACATTCAGAAACGTGACGTGTTCAAGACTTTGTGCAATTACTGGAGGGGGAAACGGGGTTACATGTCGTAGGGGAATAGGAGAGTGGAATTGATAGTCTTGTTTTTTCCTCGGATCGGGAAATGGTAGACTGATTTTAGATGATAATAATGATAATAATGGTAATGATAACGAGATGATGATAATGATAATAATAATAATGATGATAATAGTAAAAATAATAATAAAGATTATAAAGATAATAATGATAATAATAACTTAAATATAACATTTTAGGGACCCTTTCATGGGGGCAAGACAGATTATCTTATAAAAGATCATGTCATTATTATTATTTTTATATCTATCCAAGATGAAAGGGTGTACATGGACTCGTTCATATTCAGGTTATTGAATTTCGGGGCTATTTTTCATGAGCATGGTATGATGGTACACAACATATGATATTGACGTCGTTTCATTTACGTAAGTTCGATATTCAAGATGGTAAAAAGCAGAACAATATATCCAAGAAATTGTAGTAATATGTTTTGAATTGTAATGCCAGCTATAGGCATAATGTGTAGCTTTATGCATGTACACTTAACGGTCAAATCGTCAGAACTAAAAATGACAAGAAGTAAAACAGGAGATATTTCATTTGTGCCCTTACTGTTTTTATTTGTATTTATATTATATATTTTTTTTATATAGTCCTGTATTTGCTCCTGTATTTGCTCTTCTTGTATCAAAAGCAAGAAATCTTGAATTACTTCGCATATCCTTTCGTCTTTTATATGAATAAAGCTGATGTTACAATTTCACACGATCGACAGATCGACTTTGATGACGCTTCATCCATATTATTATTATATAGTATGTTTATATATTTTTTTATACAGAAAATAAAACCAAACCAATACTTAACTAAGATAATTTATCCACAAATGAGCTTTGATTAATGCCAATGTGCCCAATATCGAAACTAACATCTCAGATGTTAATTTATTAGTTCATCGGTTTCTCACTACACTCGGTATAAATGACTCTAAATTAGTGTTTGATGACACCTTTGTTAATATAATACTAGATGTTTACATGCAGCAAGTCTGTCCTTGTCAAGAGAATGAATGACTTGACTTTAGTTGTGTTTATGCTATAAATAAAAACTTGTAGGCACATTCAATACACGAATCACACAAAACATGATAGCAAAGAATTTCGAACAATCATCTCAACTGATTACCATTTGTTTGAATTATGGGGACTACGTGATGTGTTAGTTTAATAAAAGGGCCATATATCATGATTCAAAGACACATTAGTAGTCATGGTTTGAAAACTTGCTTCAAAGTTTTCCTGTCACCAGACTCCTTTTTCTTCTGAAATTGGCTCTATTGTTTACACATAGGCGCCGAAAGTGAGGTGGCAGGGAGGTGGGGGGGGGGGGGAGCGCATTTTGCCCGCCCCCCTCCCCCCAAAAAGCAGTAAAGGAGTAAAGATGGGTGTATTTTTATCCTTAAAGAACAAAACAATAATAAAAACCTGAATTAAATCACAAATAACATTCTATTCAAAGAAAAGGAAAGTTAACATGAATTTAATTTTCCTAAATATTGCGCATGCCACCTATATTTATCAATGGAGGTTTTTATAATAGCGATACGCGCATCGGGGACATATTGTGAGAGAATGGGAAAGCGTGTGTGTTATTTGTTGTAGGGGTGAGAAGACATCAGCCCTTGAACGATGGCGTACTGATGAAGGGGGGGGGGGGTATTTCTTATTCGATACCAGTGATTTACAAATGTTGCTGAAATGCTGACATGATTTTCCAGTATTTGTTCCCATTTTGTTTGTAAGTCATATGCGTTTGTTGGAAAATTAGAAATTCCCAAAATTACAGTCGGGCGAAAAATATGCTTATTTAGAAGCCCTTATGTCATGGTCTGCAAAACGGCTGGGCTCGGGGGCTCGAGCCCCCTCACTTTTTGAAAAAGTACGTTACCGAGAAAAACAAAGAAAGAGAGAGAGAAAAAAATAAGTGACCTGCCAATGTCACAAATGAGGTATCAAAATAAGCTCATCTGACCGTAACTAAATGCCTAAAACCCGAGAGCTCACGGAGGCTCCGCCCCCGACCCCAACAAGGGCCCTAAGGCGGTGTTCTGGATGCTCATCTGACCGTAATTAAATACCTAAAAAACCCGAGCTTCTGGGGGTTTATGTCACCTGGACCACATCAATGGCCTTAAAGATGGCACCTGGAAGCTCATCTGCCAGTGTCACAAAAAAGGTATCTAAATATGCTTATCTGACCGTAATTTAATGCCTAAAAACCCTGAGCTTCCTGAGCTCTCAGGCCCTGGACCCCAAGCCAATTTACGCTCTACCTGATCGTTAATACTCCACTTTGAAAAACGTTCCGCGGGGCCTGCATGTAACGTGTAAGAGTGGTGGTAATGCAGATTTTTCTTCTGCCCCCCTTCCAAACGTTTTTGCTCATTACGTCACTGCCCCTGGAAGGTGAGCCCCCTGGAATGTTTGCCCCCCCCCCCATCCCAAACTGCTTCCGGCAAAATATGGAAAGAATATTCTTGTTAAACTACACGTTCATTGACATTTCTCCGGACTTTGTTCCAGGGTGATGTTATAAAAATGTAGCTTTTTCGTCATTTTTTTTTTGAAGAAAGATTGCACTCCTTATCATTAAGTGTCAGCTGCGGATCAGGGGGTGCCTCTTGGCCGACAAAAATGGGAAGAGAAAACAGTGGAAAGCGAAAAAAAAAGGTGAATCATGGACTGATTAGTTTCTTGTTTTTATGTTTGGGGTTTATTTTACTTGTTAGAGAATTTTAGGACTTGTGACCATCCCCTCTCGCCAGAGAATCGTAGATTTGCCACCGTGTGTGCATTTCAAAATGGTCAATTGAGGGTTTTATTTGACAATGGGTAGTTTATGTCGAGATAATATAATAATAAAATGCACCATAGACCTAACATAAATAAATAAATAAATTTATTGAAATTCAGGTTTAAAAGAGGAAGTTATTAGGCAGAATTTATCAATACATTACCTCAAAGTTAAAGACCAAAATTGTGACAAAAGAAAAGGAAAAGTAACTTCTCCGCTGACTTCAAATTTGAGAAAACCATGAATGGTGTGACCTAATTTGGAACATTGCCATTCCTACTGCGACTATTCTTACTACATCGATATATAGGTAGGTCTTATCCTATTTTATATATACGATACCAGGTTTGGGTGAATAAAGAATATTTGCAATGAAGCAAGGCAAAAGGAGACTTAAAAAAAAAAAAGCTTGTGGTT